ACATCTCCGTTGCATTCTGTTCTCTGCAAACATTTGAACCTGGCTCCACGACTGCCCATAGGCTTTCATTTCTTCCTCATATGATCTCCTCCATGTCACCCTCACCTCGGACACCCAACTCATTGTTTTCCCTTAGGGTTCCACTCGAGGGCGTGGCGCGCGATGTCCCCAGTCGGCCTTCTCAGTGTATGTCCAATCCATCTCCACTTCCTTCTGCATATTTGTTGCGTGATAGGTTCTTGGTTGGTTGGTTCGTTGCCAGAGTTCCTTGTTGCTTATTCTTCCTGGCCATCTGATCTGATCTTCAGTATCGAGCGTAGGCAGCTGTTGATGAATGTCTGCAGTTTGTTGGAAATGCTTATTGTGACATGCCAAGTTTCTGAACCATATAGCAGCACTGACTTGACTGGATTGGTGTTGAAAATCCGGACCTTGTTCCATATGCTGAGTGCAGTAGATCTCCACGCTAATTTCCGATTAATGAAAGCCTGTCTTGCTTTTCCGATCCTGGCTTTGACATCCTCGTCTGTGCCGCCGCCTGTAGTTGAAACAGTGCTTCCTAGATAGGTGAAGGAGGTTACTTCCTTTAAGTTTCTCCCGTTAATGGTGATTGGAGCTTGTTGTTGTTGGTTGGGTATCTTCATCACCTCTGTCTTCTCTACGTTCACTTGAAGTACCGTCTTCGCTGCCCTGCCTCTTCTGTCAACTTGTTGGATTTCGCCTGTAGATCTTCAAGTTTGTGTGATATTAGACACAAGTCGTCGGCGAATTCCAAATCTTCTACGGTCTTCTCATCGGTCGAACAGCGCATCCCTCTCTTCTCGCTCCTCACTGTTTGTTGCATGATCCAGTCCACTACAATCATGAATATCATGGGTGATAGTAGGCAGCCTTGTTTCACTCCTGTCTTCACTTCAAAAGCATCACTGAGCTTCCCATTGTGAATTACTTGGCATGTGGCGTCTTCATATAGTTGTTGAATGAGGTTGATAAAGATTAGTGGGCACTCCGTAGTGTTGAAGCAGTTTCCAAATTACCTCTCGGTCGACGCTGTCAAAGGCCATCTCAAAGTCGATGAAGTTGAGGTGTAGAGTTGACTGCCATTCTATGCTCTGTTCTATGATGATGCGAAGCGTTGCAATTTGGTCCGCACATGATTTGTACTTCCAGCCTGTTCGGGTTGTAATTTTGAATCCAGCGCACCGTTTAGTCTCTCCAGGGTGATGCGGCTTAATATTTTGCTTGGAGTGGACAGGAGCGTGATTCCGCGCTAGTTCTCGCAAAGACTTAGGTCTCCCTTCTTTGGGACTTTGACAAGGTAGCCCTTCTTCCAATCTGCAGGTATTTTTTCCTCCTTTCAAACCTTCTGCAGTAGTGGTGTGAGCATGTCTGCTGTTGTCTCTGCGTCCGTTTCCAGTTCTTCTGGCGGAATTCTATCTGGTCCTGCTGCTTTCCCGCATTTCAGTAGCTTTATGGCGCTCAGGACTTCCATTTTTGTTGGAGGATTTGTGTTCACTTGTAGTTCTGTGACTGGGCTGCAGGTGGTATTTCTGGACGAAGTGCAGGTGGTGGTCGATTCAAGAGCTTTTTGAAGTGGTCGACCCATCGTTTCCTTTGTTTCTCTTCTTTGGTAATTAAATTTTCGTCGTCGTCTTTTATTGGTTTCATGTGTTTTGATCTCTTCCCAGATAGTAACCTGGTTATTTGATACAATGTTGTCAGGTCTCTGTCTCTCCTACCTGCAGCCTGTTCTGCTTGACTTGCCAATGTGTCGTAGAAGTGTCTTTTGTCTTTGCACACACTCTTCTTCACTTCTTTGTTCAGTGTAGTGTTTTATACGTTGTACTCAGTTCCTCTTCTCATTGTGCAACCTTGCACTGGTTTATCTTCTGCTTCACCATCCTCTTCTCCTCTGTCAGCTTCCATGTGTCCGTCGAGATCCATTTCTTGTCCTGACTTCTTTCTTCTTCCTTCCTAATATGGTTATGTAGGTTTATTTCCACATAGCTTCCAAGGAGTTCCAGTGTTCTTTCATGCAGGTTCCTTCAGGGATGTTGTTCAATGTCTCCCACTTTTTTCCTGATGACTGACTGACGTGAAGATGTCCTTTTTAGTTTTGTCCTTCAGTTTCCGTTCTGGGTGTTGAACTTGAACTGTGGTCTATCATCAGCTTCCTTGAAGGCTTTCAACTTGATTTTGAAGGTAGGTTCCTTGCACTAGATAGTGGTCTGAACCTACATCTGCTCCTCTTCTTGACCTTGTGTCAAGTAGGCTGACTGCGTCTCCATTTTCTTGAGATTGAGATAAAATCGATTTGATTCTTAGTGTGTCCTGGTGTCTGGTGAAATCCATGTCGCTTTTTGGATATCCTTATGCTGGAACACACTGCCTCTAATCACCAAATCGTTGAATGCACAGAATTCTGCAAACAATTCTCCATTCTTGTTCATTTCAATGAGTGCTTCTCGACCTATGGTTAGTTCTCTTCCTGTGTTGTCTGCTCCCAGTTTGGCATTCATGTCGCCCATTAGAATTTTGATATCGCCAACTGGAGTCTTGTCTATCACTGATTGCAGTTGTCTATAGGATTCCTCCTTCTTCTCTTGATCTGCATCATTTGTAGGTGCGTAGCGTATCATTGAATGATTGTGACTTCCCTTCCTTTTGAGTTGGATCTTGCTGTCATTGTCCTGATGCTGGAGGAGATCGGTTTCCACTGCATGAGAGCCTTTGGTGCTCTAGAAGGGGACATCATGATAGCCACTGCAGAACTCCGTGTGCTCGTGGTTGTCGTCTGGGTGACCGGAGTAGATTATTGACTCCTCTCCAGTTGACAGTTCGGAGAATCCACTTCCATTCCATCTGCTCACGCAAATTCCTAACACTTCAATGCGATACCTTCTCATCTGCTTTGCAATCTGGGCAGCGTTGGTAGGTTCATACATGGTGCGGACATTCCATTTCCCCACGTTTACTTTCGCTTTCATCGAGAGAAGACACATCGGCCAACTGGCTTCCCGAAGTCTTTCACCAACCGGCGTCATTTCGTCTCTCCGATTCCAGCGAGGAATACGTTTGTTTTTATGTTTTATATTTTCCTTGTCCTTTGAAGTTTGTTTAGCTATTGGATTTGTTTTACGGGGTAGGGTTGCTAGCCCTATGCCCAACCTTACCTCTTTACCCGGGCTTAGAACCTGCTAGTAACTAGTGAACTACTTAACCAGGCGAGGTCTTATTTTTTATGACGAATATGTACGTTAGGTAAGTAGTACAACGCTTATCTGATCTGTAAGGTTTGATTGCTGTGTGTATTTTTTCTATTATTTTTGTATGCTTGTTGGTAACTTCTCCGGATGGTTGTTTTGTTTTTGAACTTCTTGAATGAGGTGACGAATGCTTTGACGTCTCACCGGATGAAATATTCTTCATAGAGTAACGAACATGATTGTGATAAACATTTCGTTTGCCTTTGTGATTTACATATGTTTTTAGCACCACTCTTTATCTTTGTCTTTACACGTTAGGATTATGATGGTACAGTTTTCTGGGTTGATATATTCCTATTTATTTAAAGATTAAATCCATGAAGAGTTTGTGCATCGTCGGTTGAATCAGACTTGTCGTAAATGAATTTTTATACCTAATGATCAGAGTTTTTAGGTTTTGGTAACATTTTGAGCAAAGTTACTACCCATGATCACACCAGTTGTAGGAATTTTAATGATTCTTATAGTGTGGCTTGTTGGGGTTGATATTTACATAGTTATTTGTGGATGGTTGTTCTCAGAAAAGGTTATTTAGTGTTAAGTACACAAAAAATTGATATGCAGAGTTTGAGTAGGTTCGGATAACTGGGAAGGAATTGAACAGTTTAAACAATTTTAAGTTTAGGCATTAGCGTAGGATAAATATAAGTTGTATTAAACAAAGTATGTCGTACATTAAAGGCAATAATAGAATGAAAGGTGCAGAGGCTTTTAAATCAGTTTTCTGCTGACCTAAAAAAGTAGACTATATTGTTTCTCCCGACCGCTAGATGTTTAAGAAGTACTAATTTTACAAACAGTTCATTTGAACCCTGTATAGCAACAGAGTTACAAGTATCATAGCAACAACTGATACTCGTTGCACAATAGGTGTCTTTCGTACCCCAGTGGCTTAGTGGATAACCCTCTGGTGTTTGAAGCAAAAGGCACTGGGTCCGAGCTCCAGTGGGAGCAACATCACTCATGGGGGTGCAGGTACATCCGCCTGACGAGTGTCAAGTGTGACGAAACGTGCATCCTAGATTCCTGTACTAGTCACAAAGATGAATATAACATTTTCACGGAATTACTTGTTGTAATAGGGTCTACCGTTGTTTTTTTCTCTAAATGTTTGTGTTCTGCAATTATCTTACCCAAATAGGCTGCTTTGACCTGTATACTTGACCTCACAATCATTACACGGTATTTGAAAGATTAGACTATTTTTCCGAATTGGCTCTACTGGATTGTTTAGCCTATATAGTTTCTCTCTGAGTGAGTTTGTAGGTTTAAATACCATCGGAATCGCAGCATTGTTAAGAATTCATCGTAAAATTTCCAATATGCCTTCTTTATATGGTCACACCACAGAGGATTTGAATTCTCTCTTAAGCATGCTGCAATCACCACTAACATTACCACTCCTTCTTTTATCAGTCCTTGTAGACTTTTTAATAAATTCCGAAAGGTAGTTATTAGGCAGTAGTGTCTCTTTGATGTGTTTCACTCCTTCATTCAGGTTTTCTGACTTACTAGTGAAACTACTATCCCGATTACTAAGACATTTTATCAGGCCCACCTTGACATATTTGGGCTGCAGAAGTTTTACTCTTACATTAATAAAAAAGCAGTGTCATTCTTTATCTGTTACACCAGGATCGTTTTGCCTTAGAACGTCACTGTAATTTTGACATGTTTTTATTAGTCTATGTTATGTGGCAATTCACAGCTTTTTTTCTTTGTTTATTTATAAAGTGATCGAGGTTTAAAATTTCTGATTGGAGAAGACTGGCAAGAATTATTTGATGTAATTATTTCTAGGGCGAATAAGCCAACATTCTTCAAATCACAGTTGGGGTCAGTTTTCAGACTATTCACTTTTATCAATTCCTTCTGTGATATTTTGTCTATAATTTTAGTTCCATAGGTATCAGGTCATGTTGAAATTACTGAACATTTTTGTCTTTTGTACCATAAATTATATTCTGTTTTTATCATGCTTGGCGATGAATAAAATGAAACCAAATGCTGTCGCAGTAGACAAAATTGAAATGCATTCAGTAACCAGCTACTTGCACGTTCCTGAGATAGTCAGTGTGGCACTTATATTGTATGAAGGCTACAAACATTGCTTTACTGCCTAGACCTTGGTAGGTGGATCAGGTTTCAAACGTATAACCCATTGGTTGGAAGTTGAATTCTGCCTAGAGCGGTGGGCCACATGTCCGCAGAAAGCAAAAATCATCATTATTTGGGTGATGAAATGTAATATAACTCATTTATTCGACGCGGGTCTGTAATTAATCTATGAACTTCAGCATAGCATATTTTTCCTACTGAATCGTTACTATGTTATAACTTATTTAGTGTTGTAAATTGGTTCACAATGTACTTCGTGTCATCATTAAAGGTGAAGTGCATAAGTATTCACACCAATGATTCATCAGTTTTATGTTGGAGCATGCTACGATAATGATAATTTGAAGCAAGCATTAGTACAATGTAAAAACCTCAAATCTCTAGTTGTGTATGTTTGGGTCGAGTGATTCGACCCTGTATTGCGAGGGGACATTGCAAGTATACAAAAAAACAACTGATATCCGTTGCAGAATAGGGACTATCGGGCTGCAGTGACCTAGTGGATACCGCTCTGGCGTTTGGAGCGATGAATACTGGGTTTGGGGCTCAGTGAGAACGCCAACACACACTAGGGTGCCGGTGCATCCAGCTGACGAGTTTCAAATAGGACGGAACGTACGTCCTGTATTTCAATGCTAGCCACCGAGTAAGAATACAACATAATGAGTACTCGGCCAAATTTGAGCCTCCGTGCAGTACCCCATATGGCAACAAAGGCTGATCAACCAGATCTAGAATAACAACGTGTATCAGTAAACAGTATTCAATTTCATTGTCATGGTTGTGTGATTGTATTTTTATCTAAGTGAGGATAAATGATAAGAATAATTTGTATGTTTGTTTCATTTTTACAATGGAATCATAAAGTACCTAAGTAAGGATTGTACTCTATGAATCACCAAATCGATTGAAAAATGTAGATGAAAGAGGTCAAAAGTGCAAGCTAAAGTAAATGACCTCATTAAAATTAATTAAGTAATGATTATCGGAAGTGAGAAATGTGGGTGCCATTTAGATCACATATGATTAGATTGGGAACAAGAGAAATGGACGAGGATGATATGTGCTAGAGCAAAGTAGAATTGAATAAAATAATAATGATGTAGATTTGTAAAACATGTTGCTAAATTAGTCGAAAGAATCGTACAAATTGTTTCTGTACACAGTTATGGCTTAAGATCATGTATCGCCAAACTACCTGCGATACAAATAGGTGTATGCGAGTGCACCTTTCAACAGGGTCGGCTCAATCTTTTAAAGTATGTCGAATGATGATTCTCAGTTTGACTATCTGAGAAAGCCGTGGTTTACCAGACTTGTACCATTATTGGTTGGTGACTGAAGGTGAAATGGAAATATGCGCTGCGGCAAGATTTGAACCAACTACCTCCAGGTTACCGGCCTCGTGCTCTATCAACTGAGCTATGAGACCCAGCTGCTGACCAGATTTTTATTTCACTTCAATAATCAAGGGTTTTGTCTGACTGCCATATGCATTCGTGATGCTTTTCTATCCGTCCATCGTATTCACATAGGTTGCCCATCTAGGACTTCCCATCCCGATCCAAGTCGAGCTGAATTAGAGGGAGCATCATGTTGAATATCAATTCAACTATCTAAAATAGCCATGATTTGGTAGATTTTTACTTTTTGGTGATTGAAAGTGGAATAAAAAACTGCGCCGCGCAGGATTCGAAACATAGTGATTCGGCTATATATTGGAATTTCTGTGAATTTATTCTTTTACGCTCTCCTTTGCTCAGTCATACTTTAGGGCTGCTCAAGAAAACAACGGGAAATGTTTTCCGATAAACATTCTTTGTACCTTGCCTCTTAAGAGCAAGTGAACATATAAATGAACTTCGCATCTGGCAATCAAGGTTACACTTGTTTAGCATTAAGATGAACTCAGAGAAGGTTGAAATAGATTTTTCTTAGAGAAGCGGCGTGAGATGTTTCTGTTATTGATCTTGTCAAACGGTCCCTAAGATATTTGTCTGCGATGTCATCTGAATCCTAAAATTTTGTAGATTTTTCTTGGTACAATGGTTATGTTTAAATTTACTATCGTGCTTCGTCGTCACAGGGACAGAATAAATTGGACATCTGAAAATAGTAATGATGGACGATGGCTAGCAGTGGAATCGTCCTGTTTGGGACTCGTCGGCTGGATGTATCTGCTTCTCCGTGAGCGATGTTGTTTCCGCAAGCAGTAATTTAACATCTGAACACTTACAATAATAAGACATTCTTTAGAGTGATAGGCACTTTTAAATCACATCTATTAAGACTGAAAGACCCTATTCTCCACTTAGAATAACTGAAGTGAACTGTTGTGATTCTGATATCCTGTATGTTGAAGAGATGCCATTTCAAATATTTTCACACTCTATCGAACATGGTTAAAATGATAAGCAACAACTGAAAAGCTTATACTGACTAAAGGAGAGTGAAGAAGACTCTATCACTACCTTACTTGCGGTGCATTTAGAACATAAAGCGGTTACTGAAAAGGCAAAGGTTCTACAAACAGACTTTCATTCTCCTAAAAGTAGGTTATCGCAGAAGCCTAACATGTTTTGTTTCATCTCTTTTTGTACTCAACAGTAAAGATGGGTTATACATCCCCCGAGCATGACAGACATTAGTGGATATAAAGCTCTAAATTACGTACAGGATGGTGACAGATACTAATTAAGCATCACTGTATAGCTGTGTTTCTACTCAAATTGTTTGTTACACCATTTCTTCCAACAAAATACTTTATTTCCACTCTCTCCCCTTTTCAGCTTTATTGTTCGTGCCAATTTTTAACTGCCTCACTTCCACCGAATTGAACGGAACCATTTTAGATTTATTAACTAAATCGTTTACCGAATTTGTAATGTTGTTTGTTCTTTGTGGTATTTTAATTGGATGACTGTCAACAAATGAAGTAGAAGAATTCACTGCTTGCAACAAAATTCGACATATTAACCTGAATGGAAGCTTAAAATCAGATTCATACTCTTTGGAAGAATCATCGTAGCATGAATGAAACGTTTATTTTGTATGTTAGTCCCAACATACCGCGACTGAACTATACGAGTAAACAAACAACATTAAACATTATCATTCGCATGACGCTTACATACACCTCACTTCGTCATATTGTTAGTGACTTCACTAAAACTAGTTACAAAACATCCACGATCGGACGTGGCATTTCGGAGAGCTCATCTCATCAAAGTACTTGAGCAAATGCTAATTAAACACACCCCGTTCACACTCTGACTTTATTTCATAACCTGTCTGCTTCTTTAGTTCTTCCAAACATCTAACGACGTGAAAGGCACTTAGACTGCATGTGTGAGACCTGCTTAGCCGGTCAACGCCCATCTTTTGAAGTAACTTTTGAATAGCGATCTTCATAAATAAACACATACTCTCGGACCTTAAATATCGATTATCCAACTCAACTTGGTACAGATGTGTAATAGTATTATGAGTCACACTTAATTTGTGAGAACTTGTGACACTAGCCAGTTGCCCAGACGGAAGTACTTTGGGCATTGTGTTAACCTCGAACCTGTTGGTGGTAATTTGAGAGCTGGAATCAATAAACCACACCTACACTAAGAATTACTTACCGGACCCAAGCAATCTTATGGATATGATATAGTAGTAACCACGAAAGGGTCATTTCTCCTATCTTTTACAGACAGACTGACGTAACAATCCCAAAGTTCAGGGTAAGTCGCTTTGAGTTTTCCTTTGTGGAGATTGAATTCACCCGTCATGTGTTGCAACAGGTGACCCCTGATAGGTGTAGCACAGTTCAAATCCTTGACACTGTTCGAATACTCAAACCTACAGTTCACAGTCCTTAGCTGATAGGTAAATGGGGTTATACTTTCCATGTAGCGCCTGTTTTCTGCAGTTAACTTTTTAGGATATGACTCTTACTGCTTGTTAGGTTTTTAGAAAAGATCTCTACGTATATGTTTTTGAACACATTTCCCCTTGTGTTACCTTCATTTTACTCATTTGATAAGAATCATTATTTATCCTTAGTTCAGATTCTTTTTACCCCCCTTCATCTTACAGCCAGTTTCGACGAACTGATACCAGTGGTACTTTCAAACACTGGGAAGCAGTGCGAGCATTTCAACGAGGTCATATGTATGAAGGAGTATGTTTTTATCTTTGAAAAATGTTGTATTGACATGTGCGTACTCTATCTCTTTATACATTGAAGCACAAACTGCTCCTCAGTAATGGTTAAATGCTACAATCAACATCGCACATCATGAGCTTACTAATTTTTTCTTGCTTCCGTTTGTCATTCTTTTTCTTGTTTTTGTTATTTGTATGTTATACTCAGATACTACTGTAGGTGTTAAATGTATTATCAGTTTTGAATTTTGTGATTAGCTATCACCTGGCACTTGTGTAATAGGTGGTGTATCGGCTAACGCAAAATGTCGACTTTTTGTTAAGCCCTTGTATTACGCTAGCATGCACATAGCACTCGATGACGTTTAATTCGCTTTAACAAGAAGTTAGTGGTGACCTGAATTACTCGTCAGTAAAGCCTGTGACTTCAACACTAGTTGGTGTTTGCTCGAATCTGTATGGGGGCACAATTCCTTTCAAGTTTGCCGGTACACCTTGTTGATGAGTGCTATCAAGTATCAACCCGACCGATAGCTGCTACCTTGACGTGGTGGTCGGGCTTGCATATCACAATGACCCAACGAGCTATGCTGGTGGAACGCTTGTTCCCTCGAGGTCCTACCATACCAGAAAGGTCTGTTGGGTAGTGGTTAGACGAAAAGCAGTTACCGTCATAGTGTAAATTGCTATACTATGATGGGGGTCTGAGGGCGAAGTCGTACTGCTGCTAGCTGGATGGGGTGTGACAGCAGTAAGGTGTTTCCCTTGGATGACCAGCAGTGCCAAGCTGATGCTGCCTTCTCAGTGGAAGGGGGGGTTAGAAAAGGTCGGCCCCAAAAATAACACACTCCACCACGCCCCACGGTCTGCCGGGCCGGCGGTGTTGGTTCACTTGTCGTTTCCTTTCGCTCATCCGGCCCCAAAAATACAAAAATTCAAAATAATCATACTCAAAAGGCTGGGTGTGACAGGCCTCAAGCAGATGTCCGATGGGCTCTGCGGTCACACAAATCTCTTTCAGGTACCTTAAGAAGAAATAGCCTTCCACGGTGTGGGCAGCCGGGAAGTGTCAACCGCCCTCACAACTCTGTCAGCACCCAAGTTTCTTCTGACTGCTATCCTCCTCCTCCATCATTACCTTCTAATCTTCCTTCACGTCTCTTAATTAATGATGCTGCATCATCTTCAATTTCTCCTACCTCTGCAGCCTTCGACAACGATCTGAGTCCACAGAACAGTGTCCCTGGTCTCCTTAAACCACGCTCCAAATTACATATTGGAGCCTTCAATGTCCGCACCCTCCGTCAAATTGGCCAACAGGCTTCGTTGGCAAAGACTCTAGCAACTCGAGGCATGGATGTGTGCTGTGTTTGTGAGACACGCATACAGGACCCAAGTGTGGTTATTCACCTGACCTCTCCTGACCAATCTGGTGAATCTGCAAAATTCACCCTTCGAGTTTCTGGAGATTCGATAGCTAGCTCTCGTGGTCTTGCAGGTGTAGGTATAGCATTAAGCACCAGGGCAGAAAACTCACTACTAGACTGGATCCCAGTTGATAGTCGCCTCTGCGCTATGAGGCTGAACGGCACAGTGAGAACTAAAAGGAATAGTGAGACTCGCCGTTGTCTCTTTGTAATCTCTGCTTACGCACCCACTGACTGTAGTTCGGATGAAGTGAAGGACGAGTTCTACCATAAACTGTCTAACCTCCTCTCGAAAGCCAAACGTTCGGACGTAGTGGTTGTTGCAGGTGACCTCAACGCACAGGTGGGTAGACTGAGTGAGGCAGAAAGGCACTTAGGTGGCACTTTCGGAATCCCAGCTGAACGTACAGATAACGGTGATCGCCTATTACAACTATGCTCAGATAACCGCCTATTTTTAGCCAGCACAAATTTCAGACATAAAGAAAGGCACTGTCTGACCTGGCGTCCACCGAGCTCGACTCAGCGATGGACACAGATAGACCACATTGCTATTAGTCATCGCTGGAGAGGATCGGTGGAAGACTGCCGCTCCTTCTGGAGTACGTGTTTGGACAGCGATCATGCGTTGGTCCGAGCACGTATATGCCTGCGTCTCAATGGACGTAGAAAAAATTTGGCAACAAAACCACTACGAGTTCTGCTGGACAACGAAAACACCAAAGCCGTGTTCAGTGAGAAGTTGGCTAGGCAGTTATCGGAACAAAAGACTGTCACTCATCCAGAAGAAGCTTGGTGCCATCTTCAGTCTACTGTAAAAGCAGCACTGGAGACTGTAGCCGACTCCAAGATAATGGCTAAAAAGAGCCAGTGGATATCAGCAGCTTCTTCCAAACTAATGGATGCACGTGAATGCATCCCTGCAGGCTCTGAGTACAATGAAGAGCGAGCGCAACTTAAAAATAAACTGACGAAAAGTCTGCGCAACGATCGTGAACAGTGGTGGGCAGCAAAGGCTAAAGAGATGGAAAAGGCAGCGGCGATCGGTAACAGTAGACAGTTATTTAGACTTATTAAGGAGACTGGGGGGAAATGGTCAACAACAGTTAGTGAGGTTATAGCGGAGAAGGACGGATCGGCGATTCACTCGCAGGGAAGGCGACTGGGACGATGGGCAGAACACTTTGAGGAACAGTTTAACTGGCCTCCAGCCACCATTGCGCTGCCCGCTATCCAGTCGGACCCTGAATGGGACATAGAGACAGGTCCCCCAACACTAGAAGAAGTTGAGAAAGCGGTAGGTAGCCTGAAACGGGGAAGGGCAGCAGGACCAGACGGACTACCTGCTGAGGTATACAAGAATGGTGGTAGAGTTCTCTTAGTCAGGCTAACGGAAGTGTTAGCCAGTATATGGGAATCAAATACGATCCCCTCCGACTGGTCTAAGTCACTGATCATCCCAGTCTTCAAGAAAGGCGAGAAGTCCTCTTGTGATAACCACAGAGGAATCAGCCTGACAAACATAGTGTCTAAGATCCTAAGTTCTATAATTCTCCGACGCCTGAGTGGAGCTCGGGAACAGCAAGCCCGAGAAAACCAGGCAGGCTTTAGACCTGGCCGTGGATGTATCGACCAAATATTCACACTGCGCCAGGTCCTGGAACATAGGCATGCTTACAGACGCCCGACAATAGCTGTATTTCTCGACCTGAAGGCGGCATTTGACTCCGTTGATCGAGAAGTCTTATGGCAGTGTCTGTCACTGAAAGGCGTGCCTAGTAAGTACATCACCTTATTGAAAGCTCTCTACTCGAACACTTGTGGGCATGTTAGAGCCTATGGTGAGTTGTCCAGGGAGCTATACTCATCAAGTGGTGTCCGTCAAGGATGCCCACTATCCCCATTCTTATTTAATTTTATCATAGATATTCTTATGGAGGTTTCCCTCTCGTCACCTAATTACAAAGACGTTGACCGGATCACAGGTGAATTTTCCTTAGATCTAGAATATGCAGATGACATAGTCCTGTTAGGTGAAGACGCTGACAAGATGCAGAGTCTTCTGAACACTTTGAGTGGGAATTTGAGAATGTTTGGGATGCGATTTTCACCACCCAAATGCAAATTTTTGCTCCAGGACTGGTCTTCAGCGGTACCGCGGTTAACAATAGAGAGTGAAGTGGTTGAGTGTGTTGACCACTTCACTTACCTGGGAAGTAGGATCAACTCCGGTGGGTTAGTTGCCGATGAGATTTCTGCACGGATACAAAAGGCTCGATTGGCTTTTGCCAATTTGCGCCACCTATGGCGCCGCCGTGATATTCGTTTGTCTATTAAGGGTCGCGTGTACTGCACAGCAGTCCGCTCTGTTCTACTGTATGGCTGTGAAACATGGCCATTGAAAGTGGAAGACATGAGAAGGTTACAGGTATTTGACCACCGTTGCCTTCGTAGTATAGGACGTATTCCGTGGTGTCACCATGTGAGTAATGCAGAAGTTAGGTGTAGAGTTTTAGGGAGAAGAGGTAAGTCAGTCGACGAGGTTGTGAACCTTCATCGACTGAGATGGTTGGGACACGTACTACGTATGCCTAGTCACCGATTGCCTCGTCACACAATGTTGGCTGAGGTGGGTTCAGGCTGGAAAAAGGCCCGAGGTGGCCAGACTAAAACATGGCACCAATGTATGAAGTCTCTGACTGTTGGTTTAAGCCATGTAGGACGATGCAGACTAGGTGGTTGGGGTCCACGGGACAAGAGGAACCAGTGGTTGGAGACCCTAGGTGATATGGCTCAGAACCGAAGTCAGTGGCGCAGATGTATACACACATTATCCTCATCTTAACAACGCTATACCGAATCTCACTATTTTGTCACTCCTCTTTCCTTTCTTCTCATACTTTATATTTCTTTTGACTGCATTCACTTATCTTCATCCTTCACCTCACTACCTTTTTACTTGATGTGCTGATATGAGGTGTGGCAACTCGGACCGTTACGCAGTAATGCCTGGTCCTATGTTGATAATGATGATGATGATGATCAAGTATCAAACCTAAGCTAAACAGATCTTCATACCTGTTGACTCGCAATACCTAACACTGACACGATGTAGTTTGGTTCATCTGTTAGATAAATTACACTTTGAAGCAGTATAATTTGCAGGACACTGGTTCCTCGCTATCTTAATTCATCTGAGAAGATATCCGCTGCTTTGCAATCGGATTTTATCATTATTATTACTGTCATTCTTTAGAACAAATTTGTTACAATTTGAGCAGCAAGAGATGTAGTGCAATAAGCAACATCACGAAGATGCAGAAAAAAAAGAGAGAATGAGAAAAAAGCCGGAGTTGGTTATTGAAGAAGCAATCTCAAACATATATCCGGAGAGGCATTTACTACCTTCAATTTGCGTTTTAGTAATGGAAGAAACTGGAAAAGCTCAGGATGATCGCTACTAGTTTCAATTGTGAACCGTGTCTACTATCTTCTCAAGCCTTTAAGGTGCACTATCTCTCGAACTACATTGAGGGAATCGTGAAACACTTAAAGATGCTAGTCTTACGCAAATACCCATCTTCCCACAATGCCATATCATGCACTGGTGACTTCTCTGTTCCTTCCAATCCCAGTGCATGAGAACAATGAGTAGTATAGGAGCTACTGGGATGAAAAGGGTAGCGAATTTTTAACTCACTGAAGCCAGTGTTTCGAGATGACTCTGCTCAGTAAATAAGAGCCATCATCCCACCTAAAAAGAGCTGCCGCAGTTCATGGCTACTTACACGATGCTTCCATCGGATGCCAGTAATCTTACGCAGACAACAGTAATCAAGGATGCAAAGTTGATGGTTATACTTGACTTAGATAGAGGTGAGGTTTCATGGGCCTAGAGTAGAGTTATCTGCTATGTTATATACTCGATCTTTTGCGGCAAAGTAAAGGTCACGACGGTGCCAAAGGTTGACCCATATGTGATGTATGCCGCTGGGGCTTCCGATGTACAACTGGAGATTCTATCAGTTACATCACCAGCGCTTGAACAACTACTCACGTTCTCAGTCTTTTCGATTCACCACTAAGGGTGAGTGCATTCACACTCTGACATAAACCTTTCCAATTATAGAACCACACTAATTCTTAGATACTTAAAATCGACACTTCATAATTCTAATTAGTTTGGTTCGACGTTGCCTAAACAAAAGGAATTTCAGTTGTTATTTAGGATGGTCACTTTATCCTATTTCGTTGTCTGTGGTAACTTTTTCTGATCTCATTCTATTTCTCAGTCTGTGAAATATGTTCTTTTATTTTCATATATATTTACATGACTTACAAACTCTCAAAGTTTCTGATTGAAATCAGGCGTTCTGACTTACAGATACTACAGTGTAGTGACCAACTTTCAAAATTTTATCTCTAATCATGTGTAATTATTCTATTCGCTCATTTTGCTTTCAAACTCAGTATACAACTAACAGGTCATCTCTTTTTATCATATAAACTGAAACAAATTTATCTCAGTCTTTTATACTTCATACCTTTGATTTTATTTGGGCTTCCAGGAATATTATCAAAATTCTTATTATGGAAAACGAAAATAGAAATTATTTAGATCATTTTTATGCGCACTAATCAGCTAGTGGAATTTCACTGAAGGAGACTTCATTTGGAGGTGGCAGTCGTTAAAGATGACCAAGCGCATATATCCACCCCATAGTCAAGGGCGATGGAATACCTCATCTCCAGATGACATAGAAAAGTTCGCTTCAAGGCCTACTAACAGAGTAGGATCCCCATCTATATGTGGTTACATGGGACGACAGAATTATGGAGAAATAGCATCATCACCACCTAACAATAATTTATGACTGTAATCTTCGAAAAGTGTCAGTCAATCGTTTTATAGTTTTATGTAAATCGTTTCGAGACTTTGGAATTCAAGTACTGATCCTCCCTTCGTGTCTAGTTTCCAATGTTGTTCGAAACAAACCAATTACGTATTGCATTACGGTAGCCAGTTTAGACAAACCTAATGAGGTATGTTAGTAACTCATCAATAATGCATCCTTTTGCAGCTATCAAATCGAAATTTACTCAATTACTTTGTACACATCCGTGGTAGGCAGTGAACCACACTTAGTCTATGTAAGCTGATGATACTACCTGGTTGCCTAAACCTCGGTAGGTGGGGCAGGGTTTGAACCCGTCACTCACCGGTTGAAAGTTAACTCGCTAAACCAATGAAGCACAACTCCGCTTTTACATCTGTGAACAATGAGCACTCACACTATGTTACGAGTTGCTGTTAGAGATGAACCGATAAGAAAATGATATCAGCAGGTTTTTATCTCAAATGTTTCCATTTTACCCATATTGATTTTATCACGCCTTCAGAAACTAGGCCGTATTGGACATTTTCATTAGTTGAAGTCATACCACAGTGAACACATTCTCACCAAGTTTGCTTTTTAATCGCATGAAAAGACCAGCGGTTTGTGTTCGTAATATTCTCAAAAACACCATCGTTTAGTAAACTTTTTCAACGCATATCCACTCCCTATTCAATGACTTAAGTGTATCATTATTTTTTCAACCCCATACGCTTATAATGTAAATCTTTGTGCTCTTCAGGGTTGTCTAGAACAAATGATCAAGCTCACTGGATGGTCTTCCACTAGCATACTATACTTTGGAGACCATGTATATGCAGACCTTGCAGTGAGTGGTAATTCTTATTTTTATACTTGTTTGATTTATGTGCATTTCAAACACACTTCCACAATAATTGTGTGAGATTATCGACGAGTGATTCGTAAGGCCGGTCTAATGACAACTGAAGTAACCAATCAGGTTTCGGTATTCCAGTTAGAAAAGTAGTTTTTCGTAATATTAAAAAAAGCCTAATTGCTTATCTCAGTAGCTGCTAGAGTGGCCTTTAAAGTCGCTTGTTTTGTGACCGTTTACTGATATAATTGAGGTTATTTTAAATCGTTTATAGAAGTCATAGGTAACAGGATATCAAACCACCTTGAAATCCATTTTGTTAGTGTAATGATTTGAGGTGTTTTCTGCACTTCAGGTGTCCAGTGAGATCAAAATTTTGTAAGTTCCAGTATTGTATATAAGGTCATTCAAATATTTGGATTATAGTGAGTTATCATGAGACGTCTTATTAAAATGAAGTCAAATCTTCTGACATCTGATCGGAAACTCACTACTTCTTTTCTCATCTTGTTTAATGAATACTGCAGGCAAATGGAGCTTAAAAGTTGAGTACTCGTTAAGTTTGGATAATGTAATTAGAAGACGTAGATTATCTGAAAAATGTGATGTATTAACGCTATACATTTCGAACAATCTGATCACACATTTACTTGTTAAGGCATTATATATGAAAACTGGAAGTGGGGGAAGTACAAATATGACATAAAGGAATTCAATAATAAGATAATGAGAAGAATAAAAGATAAGATTGAAGACAATCTTGGTAATACGATAAAATAAGCATTGCCAAGGTAGGCTTAATGTAAGGACAAACTGCTTTTGCACACACAATGCGAAGTTAAATTTATTTATGGCTAGCGCCTCAACAAACTTAGGTATACGCCCCTGCCAGTTTCTGTACAAAATTGTAAATGCTGTTTTGATATCAATGCTGTGACTCTTATCAATGATATGTTTTGCAATGGATGATGATGGTTGCCTACCATGTGCGCTTATCAATGTTTGTGAATCCAGCTGCTTTCGTAGCCATTTTGGAACATACTCCCCTACCCTCAAGTGCATATCACAATTAGTCCTCCCTATGTATGTTTGTCCACATACACATACACGTAAATTTATAAACGCAGTGTGATGTAACACAGTGATGTTAAAAATTTTTTTCTCTTATTTAGTATGCATTTAATTTTTGAAATTGTGTGAAATAATCAAGAATTTGCTGCCTCTTGTGTCGTATATGAAGTGTGGGTGATTTTCAAGGTAGAATGTATTTTATGTATGAACCTTGGCATCTATGAATGTTCTGCACTGTTTCTTCTTAATTTTTGAATTGTCAGTGTGTTTTGCACTTTGATGCGTTCTCAGATGACAGTTATTTTCGTCTATAAATTATCTTATTGATGACATGGCTGCAAAGTTAATGCGTTGATGTAGATGTGCTTACTTATAATAATGATAATAATAATTCCGTAAGTGGTCGGTTGGTTTCTGTGCTTCGATCTTCTTCGTTCCTCTCCTCATCTGTTGCTTAAAATGTCCCTCCTTCTGTTGGGATTACTTCTGTATTGCTGATATCTGGTGAAACTTTAACAGATGCCTTTTTTATAGTTCTCTACTTTACTCATTCCGACTGACGAATTTTGATATGTGTACACTGTCTTCATACGTAAATCCAGTAGAATTGTTTCTTCATGTTAGAAATCCCTGAATGATAATGGCCATGTTTGTTATTTTTCTGTCTATTTACCATTGTATATTAGGATGTGGCGAGTACATATGGTTGGATGACTGGAGCTGTTATACCAGAACTTGAACAAGAACTGATTGCTGCCAATGATTCAGACTTTAAAATGAAGCTTAAACGGCTAAGAATACTAGAGAAGTTGATTCAAGAAAATCAAGTGAGTCTATATTGAGGTGTTAGTGAATTTATTAAACCGTTCACATTATTCCATCTTCACCACTCTGTGCTAGACCAGATTTCTGACTTGCTATTAAATTGTTTATTTGATGTAGCACAACATGATACAGTATAATTTACTTGATGACGTTTCGAGCAGAATTTACTGCTCACATTCATATGAGTATCACTGTGTGCTACATCAAATAAACAATCTAATATATGGAATAGATTTTTCCTATACATTAGATTTCATATTGTTTTTTCAAGCATATTGGAGAGTTTGAGATCACATTTCAGAAGTTGGCTGTGGAGGAGAATAACTGGAAAAAGAAATATCGGTGTTAAGAATAAGCTTTTGTGCAAATACGTTGTTACTGTTGTATTCAAGGCACAATCACCAGGTTATCTCATCATTTTGTCGCATAGTGTGACAGTACGATGAAATAACACTAAATTAGATCTAAAATGTGCAATTCTAAACTACTAATTACATATAGCTTCATTTTAATGATGGACTGGGAGATATTTAATCTCCTTTTCAATACCCCGGCAGAATTCAAGTTTATTTGCGAATTCATTTTTCGTTATTTTCAATTAAACTAGGTAATACGGTGATCAGACGTTATCCTAAGTTGAATGTTCTACAAATTTCAACGACTAAACATAGGTCTATATTTCATTTGTTTTAAGAATACAAAGTTTACTTTGTAAATTTATTGATTTCTCTTTTATACTCTTCTTATCAAAAACAAACTTATTAGCATGTTCATTCATCTAAAGCAAAGTTACTTCTTGAAGCATGGTTGGATGAAAGAAATGCTCTAAGACGTGTAAGTAAATTTGTATTCAATCCACAATTTGGAAGTATCTTTCGGTCGTTTCACAATCCATCATATTTTTCACAACGTCTTGGACAATACGCTACATTGTATACGTCTAGAGTTACAAACCTGTTACAATTCCCGTTAGATCATGCATTTTTCCCTAAACGAACTGCTTTACCTCATGAACCATATTAAACTTGAAACTTTTTTCGATAATTTGACACTGAAGAAATCAGTTAGGTGTATTCAAATAGTTGTCTCTGTGTCGTTTTTCGCGTGTTTTGTTAATCAATTTTAGTTTTCATTGAAATACAATCTATTGTAATTTGTAATAATTAATAATAACCGTTTTATTCCAAACAATGTGTGATACAATATGGAATTCTTAGCTTATAATATTTCATTCAACAAAATTCACTCCAAGTACAACGGGAATAATCATAGCATCTGAACAATATTAGCAACAACAGTATTAAAGGTAAAAATGTGAAACAACCAACGGGTTTTAGATTAGCATTTCATCTGCACCGAGGAATGGATAGAAAAAGGTGCGTAAGATTGATGGTTTGTTCAGCCAGTACGGAAATCTGAGATTCGAGCCGAGTAACCTAAGAGCAGTAAAAGGATGTATTTATATGCATCTCTAAGTCCATTTTCATCCACCATCATGTCTATTCGTCGTTTTGTTGTTTACTTAAAAAACGGTTGGTGGGAAACACTCTAAAAATGTACGAGAATACAGACATACATAAAAGACATGTAAAAGATTAAAATGAATCGAAAAGGAACAATTAAGTGTAACATATTTGATGAAAAATTTTCGGTAGTCCAAGGCTTAAGGAGGCCTCCGTAATATCGGATAAAATTAATTAGTTGTATTTCATCACCTTTCATTTGAAATTGCAATGGTCATCCGTGTTTCAGTGTAGCATACCTTGAATTTAGAAATATCGAGTGATAATTGATTCAGTGTTGTGATTTAAAACGAATCTAGAATATTGAGGTGAAAAGACCGTAAAATGTGGTCCAAATTCATTACTGATTTATTTGTAGTTAAATGGAAGGTTCATGTTTGGTAGAGGAAGAGGCAAGGAATCGCAATCTATAGTAGGCAAGCAAAAACGAACGATTGTGTAATGAAAACATAACAAAATCAAAACACATCAACTACAGGAGTTCAGGATTTATCACACTTTTTCTGTATGCATGACATAAAAAAGTCAGCGTTGAACTTCACACACTAGTGCTTTGAAAAAATCATGTTAAAGAACACAAAAGTGTAGATAAGTGGAAGTTAGTAAAATGTCCATAATTTCGAAGATGACTAAGAGTTTTTACACTTCCACCATTGTGATAATTTTCCGGGCATGTTACTAAGAAACAGACCAAAATCAGAGACTTTATGAAGTGGTATCGCTTCACACCTAGTCTTCAATTAACATAACTACTCTCCGGCTAACACGTTACACGTGTTGGCTACCGGTAGCTTAAGCACATGTTTCCCATTTGCTTAAGGCTTAACAACTTCATCGACTGCCTTGCTTTTTTAGACTGTTACTGTACACCACTGTGTGTGAGTAATTCTCATAAAATACCTATGATCAGGAAAATGTAGCCTCTTCCAATTTTTCACTTTGAGCAGCTGTACAATGTGTTAGACTGGAAAACCGCCAGGCATACTCATCCTAAGTTATGTGACCAAATATTCTTCCGCAGCTAGATACCGTGTAACTTAGTAAATGTTGAATGAGCCTTTTGTATCAGGGCTGGTGCAAATTCCAAAATAGAAAAGTGTTCAGCGCACTCCACCACTTTACTCTTTTAATAATCAGATCAGGAGGCTGGTGCACATTATTTCTGAAGCATCAGTTCACATTTGGTAAGTGAAAAACACAAGCCAAACATATCAAAATTTTTGCTCAAGGCGTTCGGAATATTGCTCATTGCTCAGTGTCTTCACCTGCCACAATTACGCCATCTGTACACTATGTCAACCAGAAGTTGGTTGTACTTAGGGTTATATCCATCACTACTTTTACGTTACAGGTAAGTAGTATTGATGGTAATATACTTTCCTGTCAGGCATTGCTGTTTATCGTTATCTTACATGACAGCTACCAGTAGTAAGCCGTTGCGCGGCTGCATGGATTCTATTAGGGAGTCTTGATTGGCACTCGGTAGTCTTCACCACCGATATAATGCCTCGAAACTTCTCGATCGACGAACTTCAATGCCTTCTTCAGGTCAGGAAACATCGTCATAATCAAACACTGGAAGGTGTGCCTTTCGTAGTTGCTTGGATAGTTAGGTCGTCCTTCCTGTTGAGTGCGTCATGACTCATGATAATGTGAAATGCCTCAGCTGTTTGTCTTTCCTCGTTGTTAGTTTAGAAGTCCATTTTGAATAATTTTGATATTTCCAATGTTAATTTTGTGGCTACGAAACATGGCATAAACAGCAGTTGCTGACTTGATTTGTAAATTCTGCAGGATACGTTGGAGGTCATTTTGTCCAGCTTGCCTGTTCTTTAGAACGAATGAAGATTTCACATGATGATTCCTGCGATAAAATAAGCATCACAGTCAACACAGCCTAGTCTGTGTTAGAGAATGACGGTGTCCATACAGGATTAAATGGTCGTTCTGGACTCGATTGCTAGCTACCACCAAGAAAATCTCATCACAATAAATCTTCAGGTAAGATAGAGGCATCTACACATAGGTCCATACACAATATAAATCTCCCTCAAGTCGTCTCATTTTATATCAAATGAGTCTCCTTAGTAGATCTATAGTAATCAGATGACAGAGTGTGTTAGGTGAAGGCACTGACAAGATGCTGAGTCCACTGGATACTTTAAGTGGCAATTTTAGAATGTCGGAAATGCGATTTCCACCACTCAAATGGAAATTGGTGCTCCAGTCCTGGTTTTGGTTGGCGCCTCGTCTGACAACAATGAACGAAATGGTCAAGCATGTTGACTACTTCACTTACCTGGGAAGTCGGATCAGCCCTGGTGGGTCAGTGACTAACGAAATCTCTCCAAGGATGCGAAAGACTAGCATCGTCATCGCCAACTTACACCTTTTATGGCGTCGTTGTGACAACCGATTACCTACTGAAGTGTGGATGCTTTATGCTGCAGTTCGCTGTGTTCTTTATAGCTGTGAAACATAGCTGTTACAGGGATAGAGCATGAGAAGGCTTCAGGTATTTGACCACTGTTGGATTCATTATATTGACCCTGTGCCGTCGTGCCACCACGTCATAATGCAGAAGTCAGGCGTAGCATTTTAGAGAGAAGAGGAAAGTCAGTTGACAAAGTTGTGAACCTTCATCGACTGAGGTGGCTGTGACATATGTTATCCATGCCTAGTCACTGTCTGCTTCGTGGTACAATATCGGCTGAAGTAGGTTCAGACTGGAAGAAGGTTAGTGGTGACCAGACTAAAACACGGTATCAGTTCATGAGGTCGCTGACTATTGATCTGAGCCATGTAGGGGAATGTAGACTTCCCTGTTGAGGTCGGTGTAACAACCGAAACCAGTGGTTAAAGACTCTAATGATTTTACTCAGAATCGATCACAGTGGCGCAGATTTAGCTACACACTATCTTTATCTTAATCTTCATACCGAATTTCAATTCATGCTGATATTGTCTATCCATATGTCAGTTAGGTTTACTGTGGACAGTCAACGGGAAATAAATGTCTAATTTGTTTTCATTCCTAATAACTTTATATAACTGTTACAGACCACATGCGAATTGCCAACTTTTAGCAGTTTATTAGTCCAATCACATAGTTAGGATCTTTCCCTCCGAAAAGTATTATTATTATTTTATTATCTGTCCTTTAGGTTCCCAGTGGAACGTGGAGCTTCAGTAGCACGTCGCTATTTCACTCTCTTCTCTGCAGTCTTTTTAACCTTCCTCCACGACTGCCAGAAGCTTTCATTTCTTCCTCATATCATCTTCTCCATGTCATCCTCGCCTCAGACACCCAACTCGCCGTTTCCCATTTGGGGTCCACTCAAGCAACTGGCCTGACGCGTGATGTCCCCAGTCGGTCTTCTCAGTGTATGCCCAATTCATCTCCACTCTCTTCTTCATATTTGTTGGGTGATGGGTTGTTGGTTGGTTGCTAGCCGGAGTCCCTTGCTGCTGATTCTTTCTGACCATCTGACCTCAGTATCGATTGTGGAAAGTTGTACTCATTAACGTCATTGAATGGAGAGTGGGATGTAGTTTACAATGCCCCAGTGATGTAAGATGTTTACATGGAATTAAGGACCATTTGGCAAAACTAAGTTGTAAGTTATGCGTGAAACCAATTATGGGGGGAGATTATGGATGACAAGAAAATCTAAGAAACAAATTTTCTCAATCATTTATTTTGTAAAAGTGAGTTACTAATAAGATACTTTACAGGTCAATTCTACAAAATTTGTCTTCAAAAGGCATCTAGACAAGATTTATTGCATTTGTTTTATTTTGTATTTTTATTTCCACGACCAACGCGTTCACAGTTTTCCTCTTCTAACATATAAGCTGGATGGTAGGCAATGCGTCCAGTTTTTGTAATGTATCGCAGTTGAGGATTTGGATGAGTATCTTCCATACTACCGATCGATGTGTATCTTCATTTAGCAGGAAAAAAATACAGGTCATCATTTCCCTTGGAAACTGATACGAGTATTAACGTGATGTTAAGTAGTGCGTTAAAGTGACAACAATCAAGGGCATAAAGAAAATTTTATGGTGGTGGGGTGAAAAGTTCCGTCCTAGCGCACCCATTAAACACAGGACATCATATAGATGCTAATAAAGCTCTTTATGTCATACATCGTGTACTAAAAACAATACCAAGTGTAGCCCACTAACATCTGCTCAACATAGCTGAGGTTGTCGCAAAGACTGATCAAACCTGAAATTTGTATTCAGAAAAATCATTTGCAAACGTTATTCCCACCTTGACTTTTAGTGAACTAAACCCCCATCTTCTTTATTCGTTGTCTTTTCGTTTCCTATCATATGTCTCCACCTATGTATATGTCATCTCAACACTTACAAACTGTCATTTCACTATGCAAATGTATTCACCTGTGAATTGTTTCTACGCTGTACAAATGCATTTTATAATTAGAATTTATGGAAAAGAATATGCTTCGTTCAGATTGTTACTTTTTATTGAAGTCACTTTACTTAGAGAAACTCATTTGAGTACAATCACCATGTGCAAAGTGATCCACATAGGCTAACCTCATTTCTAACTAAACTAATCAACTCAATTTTCACCCTAGAAACTTCACGAAATGATTCGTTTAGATGTCATTAGAGCTCGTTCAATATCCATCGGTCAAAAGCTGTTTCTTTGAGTCTATCAACAATCTGCATACGAATATACATTGAAGCAGTTCAACTAAATTAATAACAGTTCTACAATTCGTAATAAAGTCAGTACGTATTTTCTTAGTCAATCAAAACTGGTAATTACCCAACATCATAGAGACGGCAATAAGGAAGTGAAAGGGATCGAAGAAAATTCCATACATCAGAATAAGTCCAATTTAGGAGGGGATTGATCCGAAGGATTTGGGGCCAACCAGGATCTGACATCATCACAGGATGGATATTATCTGAAGAGAAGATAGCAATGAGATGAAAAATGATATTCTTTTGCGTTAATAGGTCTATAGTTAAGATCCAAAATCCAACAAGAATTGGTTGTCAGATGGTATTTGAGGTAATAATATGGATGAAATTGAATCCCGATTACCCGAATTGTAACACATAATCTGTCATTGAGAGCCTATTTACTATTCAATTTATCTGATGATGAGTGAGTTAATTTCATAGACTATATCGCGACGATGTCAAAAAATCGACCAGAAGACGTCTGTCAAGTTCATGAAATGCTTTAAGCCAATAGAGACACATTCTTGTTTCCTAAAAGTACCGGGAAAATGCATATTCAATTGCTCCAAGGTACCTTTTACCTCCATTCAAATCCAGACATTATCTCTGTGTCCAAAAGTTTGCGATACTTCAGAAACTGCTTATGATCTCAACATAAAAATTCAGTTTGGAATCTGTTTATTCAAGCGAATGATCTGCTACCAGTTCCCAATAAGTCTCGAACAGTTCAGATCGAACATCGTAAGTAGATGTCACCAATAACTGAATACGAAACCACATTCTAAACGATTGTTGTAAGACGAGCATGAAAAGCAGGTCTATGAGATCTAGAAAAATAAAGATCTGATGCTAGTTTGACCTGATAAAGGCACTGGTATTATTCTTCTGGATCATCTGAACTATAACGCTAAAATACTCTCTACCTTATAAGAGTAAACTTTCGAGTCTACTAAGCAAATTAAACGAAAGCTCACTCAGATTCTTAAGAAAATGAATTATGAGTCTGTCATGAGCTCTGAACTATTTGAGTGATTGCCACCATCTGGTTCTGTAACTCTGCGCTGATATGGTCTCCCGAAAGTACTGAAAGATCTTCTGAGTTCAATTTTGGATGTGAACAATTCACCATACCATGCTATCACCATATGGGTATCGAACACCCTTCACGCAACGAGAAAACAGCTAAATACGCACAACTTATTGGATTCTTACGACTTTTTTTGAATCAGATAATAATGTCAATGTATCTGGTAAGCGAATGATTTCTCGTGATGAGGTTTTTCTCTTTACCAATGCCACTCACGGAAGCTATTTGTTTGCTATGTGATTTCATTGAAGACAATAATTTTCACATGGGTATCCCTAAGCATTTTGTAGGAGAATTACTTCTAAGATATACTTTCAACATGTAGTTCAACTTCAACAAGCTGTACAAACAAAAGGATGGGGTCGCTATGGTGACACCACTTGGACTACTGCTGCCCGACTACTTTGTGGCCAACCTAGAGAATAGCGTGCTCATCTCAAAAATTGATAGTTTTCACCTACGCAAAAGATATATGGATGATACATTCATCATATGTGATCAAAATACCGAAGTTGGGACAGTGACCCATTTTCTATCTCTTTCACTTGAACAAATACCAGCACCTACACCGATTGTATATTTTGCATATTGAGTGAGCAAGTTTTTAGTGCAATTATCTGTCACTTTACTGAGTATAAATACGACTGTACAGCTTGATAATTAAGTCGTTGAAAAGAAATACTTCTTTGCTGATACATATATATTAAATACGATCATACGGCCTTAGAAAACGACATCGTTGGGAATCATCTGAATCATCTTTTCTTTTCTTGACGAGGTAATTCTTAAATCCTGTGTTAATCGAAGTTTGTCGAACAAGCTTGCGATGTGGTCACTAAGTTTAACGACACGATACTGTGTTTCATTGTGTTAGCTGTGGAGGGTAAAAACTAGTAAGCAAAAAATCTGGAACTTAGATTTCATGCTTGTTGGCGGTTATCACCGAGGTGTATCTACAGTAATAGTAACTTATTCAGACTGGCTGAGTAACTTTATAGTAAATATTCTGACTTGTTCACCAAGTTAGGCGAATTCGAATCTTCAAGAAGACAGGGGTTCGCTCAATTCAAAAGGCAATACTCATGTTTAAATTTCTGGAAGGTATCTTAAAAATAAGTGAACAAGCGATATCGAAATGTGGTGACTGATATTTACAGACTAACAGTTAAATCAGGAAAAGGGCAATGAATCAACTACTCTCATCCAATCGATCCGTCTACCGGAACTTATTCTTATAAACACTCATTAACGATGCAATAACTTTAATTTCTTGTTGCACGGGAGAGGAGACCCAGGTTGTAGTCGACAGTTAATCTCACGACAGCTTAAACTCGAAAAGCACCCAGACTACCGCATTTCCGTCTTGTGAACACTAAAGCAAAGCACTACCTTCATTTCCACAACTTATGTAAACGTTGACCGCCAATCAAGCTGTTGACCAACTTTCTTAAACACTTTTAAAGTCACTTACAATGAGTTTCAAATACTTCGTTGCATAAAGGTGGCGAAACAGTCTGTTTGAATGCTAAGTGACTTACTATAGCAGTTTAGGGAAATGTAGACTTCCCAGTCCATCGCTACAGACTATAGGTTATATTGGCTCGGATTCGATCGCAGTGCCCCAGATGAATACATATATTATCTTGATCTCAGTTGTCATACCGCACTTCAGTATCGTCTCATTCCTCTTTGTTCTCTTTTCATAACTTCCCACTACTTCTGACTACTTTCTTCTTCATTTCTTTATCTTTATATTGATGTACTCCACCTCAACGTAGGAGGAGCTGGATTAGGTTGGAAGAGAGTTCGGGGTGGGCAAACCAAGGCCTGGCCCTAGTCCATGAAGTCCTTAATCGTTGGTCTGAGCCATGTTGGGAGAAGTGAGCTACCTGGTTGGGTCCCTGAAACGACAGGAATCATCGGTTGGGAACTGTTGGTGACATGGCTAGAAATCAGTCACAAGGATGCAGATGTATTCACTCCTTGATATCTTGTAAAGCTTGGATATTCGCACTAACCTTTATCTTCAAATTGTTTATTGTCTCACACAACTTTATCTACTTTGATATTAGTCTTTTTCTAGTCATCTGTTCGTTGTATACTACTGTGAAGTGTGGCAACTTGAACCACTGCACAATAATATTAGAGATCCCATGTTGATACTGACTGACTTAAAAAGATCTTTAAGTGTTGAAATATTCAGAGAAACTGCAACAGGTTCTCAGGAAGTATAGAGTAGAGAAAACTAAGTACATGTGGAGTATGAAAAATAAGTTATTTACTCAGTTCTGTGTTTGTATATGCACTTGCTAAGTATAATTGTTTCACAAAAAGACTACATACTTAGATAGAATGTAGTGTGCCACGTAGCCAGCTGAACATCACTACTGACAAGGATCATTATCCCCACAAACCTCACAAAAAATCCTCTGCAATAGGAGAAATTACAACTCGGAAGTCTTATATCAACCTGATTCTCAGGCTACTTATCTAGAATTTTTCCTTCCGTAATGCAATTAGTCAAAATTGTGTTGATTGAGAATATCGCCCAAATTCGATTAATAATAACAACAATAAAAGTAATAAATTCAGATTGAAATGCTTTACTCACGTGCTCCGGGATCTGAATATCTTGTCCCCATGAAAGCACCTTTAATATTAGGATAGTCTTGTAAAAATCGTTTAAGTACATTTTTAATAGGTCCTTCATATATGACTACACCATTATCTGTTTGACACGAAGCAGACTGTATGCTAACAGCTGTTTCATGGCTTTCATGTTGTTTTAAATCTGGCCGCAAAATCTTACTAGATGATGAGTAATAAACATCGATTGTTTTCTCAACAAATATTTCAATTTCTGGGAAAGTGGAATTTGAACGAATATATAGAAGTTTAGGTAGTTTTGCGGAATTTTTATTCTGTGTATTATGATTATTATCTTGTCTATTTCGACGACAGACTGAAGCATAGATTAAATGAAGTAATATTGTACAATCCTTGCCACCATTGAAACATATAACTAGTTCAGAGTCCCTTTACAAAGAAAAGATAAAATGCAGTAGGCTAGAAGCTTTTAATGTTATATTTTAACAAGATAGCGACTTCAAGTTTAAGAATAAAGAGGCTCTGAACGAATATCAATACAACCATTTGATTTTCTCTTAACCTAAAGAGTTGAACTAGACTTCATGATTTTGCCACCGTCAAATTTCTGAAGACTACAAAGGCTGTTACAGTCCATTTATCCAACAAAGCTACAGTGGTTATGTTGCTTTATAATATATCACAGCGCCAGTTGGAAGTATGAAATTATCAAGCTGGTTGATTAAGCTGAAGGTAAACATTAAGTGGCTATCATCAGGTTAGTCTTTGAAGCGCGGCAATCAAGTTCTTTGAAAGATCACACGGAAAGTTATCCCGATGTACACTCAAAGGAACAGATTTTTAAATGATGGAAAGTAGCAGTTGACGTTATGATTATGAACTATGGTAATACCTTCAATAATAATTCTCATCTAGGAAATAAGAAAAAGCTGCAAAGATTTAGGATACGAGGTAAGGTAGGAATCTGGATTAAGGACTTCCATGGTGAAAGTGGAGATTAAAAGCTGATGGACTGTCAACCTCGTGGAAACTAATAAAAACGACCTCAAAGTACAATATCCATCCCCCTTCGTTTTCTACTGTAACTTAATAAGTTACCAAGTACGGCAAAATCATCCATTATATCTGCAGATGACTTTAGACTTTCGAGAAGATTTGAATGTGATATTAGTTGAGTTCAGGATATTAGAACCATCACAAGCGTGAATTCGCCAAGGTGATCCACAAAAATACTCAATTGCATGTCCTTGATTAAGGTTGGTGACTATAAAGACTAGGCGGTCGTCGTAGACAATAGCTTTAAAGCCAAAGGAAAATATAGAGTAGAGGATCCCGAAGGTTTCGGAGTTTTTTCCTAAACTCTTTGAAAAGCATTTTAGAAAGCTGATGAGGAAATGTTTTGAAATTAACATCCTATGTCCACTAAAGGCCATCTCAAATATCGAATCCAGGTAGCGTACCCACGTCTCAAATATGAAGCATTCATTAAAGAGAGTGTAGGTGATAAAAAGTTAACTAATCAAAGAGTTCTGTAACCTATATTATAAAAACGACTAAGTCGATCGAATTTATTGCCAATGTCTGATCGCAGAATAAGACATCTCATACTGGCATCCTGCATTTTAAGAAATTAAATTGATGTCATTTTCGATCACTTGTTTTTTTCCTTTCACACCTGATCATCTGACAAGGCATCAAATTTTCAAAATCTGCTTACGTTTTTTGCATTAGACTTTGAACCAATAAGACTCTCCGTCAGCGTAAAAACTTCGCAACCATTTGTGAATTCACCAAAGAATAACATTTAATACATGTAGGAATGAAGTTGCTTGTATTAGCTTCAATGCATTATTACTGACTGAAGTAAAAACTACAAAGATTTAAATACTTCGTTGCTGAAGGTAAAATGGGATTAGCGCCCATTCAAAGACTGAAACTGGATGAGTTTCCTCATATTTTCGTTAGTTGGTTAGAGTTGGTGGGTTCAGGCAACTAAATACCTACCCATCAATGAATACTAACATAATCACGGTGTGTTGTAAATGATTTAGCCCTGATTTCGCACAAACTCATTAATGTATGCCAATGAGGACTTCCAAATTCGGGCAAAATGGTTATTCAGCACCTCTTGGTTTTCTATATTTCTCTCATTAATATAAATTTGCGGTGAGAACCGTGTTTTACAAGACCAATATAATGATCCATTCATAGGGCAATAGCTAGTAAATTCATCCTAGGTCTTAGTGCATATTGCAAGAAAACAATTAAAAAACTTTTCTGGGTAGAGAATTAAGTCAAACTTTTAAAACTTGTTGAACGTCTGTATAAACAAGCGCAATGATACTGAGCAGTACATACATTCGCAATACTGCCCTGGATTCGAAATCAAGTGTATGAGCAATAGGCAGATCTTCATTTCAGCGAGTAAATAAGCAACGTAAGTAAAGCAGGTACATAAAGTCAGAAACTAGTGCATTAAACTTGAGAGTAAACTAAATTACTATCAGACAGTAAGATGACAATCAATCAAGAAACTAAACAAATACGCTTTATGAAGTGAGATAAAAACTTGGTCAGCAGTCGGACCTCGTAGCTCAGTTGGTGGAGAAACAGATCATTAACCCGGTGGTCGCTGGTTTGAATCTGGCCACGGTCCAAACTTTCATTCCACCTTTAATCATCACACAGTACAAATGCGCTCTCGTAAGTTTCATTGTGATAGAGTCATAAATTAATCTAAGAGGTTGTTTAAGTGTAGTGAAACTGCGCATAAGTGCTCAAAGAAAATTGCAGTTCCACAGCTACTGTGGGCAGAACTAAGAATTATTTTGAAGGTGAGGTGTTCACTGAGCTGGACGGTCTAACCGTGAAGCTTTTATTGCCGTCCTAGACATCATCAGCGCCTGGTGGGGTCATGTTTGTGTACTGCTGAGTCCCACACTAGGACCAAACAGCTTTCCAGGGCTCCCAGATTTCCAATGTTTATCCAACTGATGTCAGCCCATGATGAACACCAACATGAAATCACTATATGGAAAATACAATTTTGAGCTTTGTGAGGATTAATTGATTTCAGGTTGGTATTCACCATGAACTGAGAAACACTGAAATCCTGGGAGCACTGGATAGCTGTTTCTTCCTAGTACAGGATTCCACAGATGTTCGCATCCACGACCCCACCAAAAGTCAAACCCGGGACCTTCAGGTTCTGCAGCCAGCACGTTACCATGGAAAACACATAACATTTCTATGACTATAAGAATCTTTTCAAGTATGTAGTTACGACCGATAAGCATAAATGAGCACTAAAAAATGAGCTATACCCATTGCGTGAGGGCTAATAACACCAACCGGCTTACTTTGTCCGAGTAGGTCCAGCGGAATTCTAACATGTAATTTACTGGTTGGAAGTCAATTCCCTAGACACATAAACCACAGCTCCACACATGTAATTGCATCTTCTGTAAGAAATTCCTATATATATATATAATACCTTACTAACCGTATAATGAGCTGCTAACTCTCAAACTCGTATAGTAATGATGGGCAGTGGAATCCAGGATGGGCATTTCGTATTTGAAAGAGTAAGTCCCTTTTATGAATTTCGATAGAGTAATTAGAAGACGAAGTTTATCTGAACAATGTAATGTATTCGCACAATACATTTCGAACAATCTGATCACACATTTACTTGTCACGTCAATATATATTAAACCGAGGAGTGAGGGGACAAATGCAACAATTAACACAATAGGGGATTAAAATTGAGAAAGATGAGAACAAACAGGAAGTGACATAGTTGATCCTAATCTTGGTAAGAAAACAAAGTTTACCAAGGTAGTGTAGTGTAAGAACAAACAGTTTTTGTACATATAAAGGTGGTTTAAATTTGTGTATAGCTATGGCTTCCGCAAATCTCAGAATACGTCCCTGACTGTTTCTATATAAAACTTTGAAAGCTGTTTGAACACTAACTTTGTGACCTGTTTCTATGATATGTTTAGCTATAGATGAAGAGGGTCGTCTCCCACAAGCGTTTATCACTGTTTCACTCTGCGTTTGTTTTTGAAGCCAATTAGGCACATGTTCTTCCACCCTTAACTGCATGACTCGATTACTGCTCCCTATGTATGTGTGCCACACACATATGTAAGTTGGTAAACACAACGGGATGTGATGTAATTAATGATGCAGTGTTTAGGTTTTTGGGGAAGCATGTGTTTTATTTTTTCCCCAATGACAAGATTCGCCGCGTAATATGTTTTCTTAATGGCTGATGTCAGCATACGTCTCAAAATGATACTACTCAACTCCTCTCTATAATGGTAGAGTGATATGGACGCTTTTCTTAGGAACCGTGTACAGAGTTATGTGTACAAAGACATTTTGTTCTTACACTACACTACCTTGGTAAACTTTGTTTTCTTACCAAGATTAGGATCAACTATGTCACTTCCTGTTTGTTCTCATCTTTCTCAATTTTAATCCCCTATTGTGTTAATTGTTGCATTTGTCCCCTCACTCCTCGGTTTAATATATATTGACGTGACAAGTAAATGTGTGATCAGATTGTTCGAAATGTATTGTGCGAATACATTACATTGTTCAGATAAACTTCGTCTTCTAATTACGCTATCGAACTTCGTATTTCCTAGGTTGAAAGTTCATCGCAGCTCATGTAACGGAAAAACTTGGGCAATGTGGTAGAATACAATTCTATATTAGATTGTTTATTCGATGTAGCATATATTTATACAGTATAATTTACTTGGTGGTGTTTCGAGAAGAATTTATTGCTCATATTCATATTCTTATCCCTGGCATAATTCCTTCAATAGAAACATTAGTTCTATTACCGAGTTCATGGTTAGTTGTGAGTTCATTTCTGACTACGAGTGCCATATTATTTGGTACATTTTTACAGAGGCTCGTCACATCAAAATTGACCATCTTTTCTCCCTCGTCTAATTGTTTATTATTTAGTCTGTGTTTCAATTCAATAGAATCGGTGAGTCTAGATTTTGAGCGATTTCTAATAGGGCATAGTATTGTAGCTAAATAATTCGATACCTCATATGTTGGTGTATTCTAAAGTTAACTATTGGCCTAACAACCTGTTTTATGAACCAGACATTCTACTAGGACTATTAGTTTTAGGCATTAAATTGTAGCTCAGTTGGTAGAGCATCGGGCCGGAAACCTAGTGGTCGCTGGTTCGAATCCGGCTGCGGTCCAAATTTTCATTTCACCCAGCATCAATAGTAGTCTGCCAAACTACGGCTATCTCAGATAGTCAAATCATAATCCATATGATGCTCCCCCTCTCTAATTCAGTTAGATTTGGATTGGGATGAGAAGTCCTAACTGGGCAGCCAGTGTGAATACGATCAAGCGACAGTAGTGCGTTACGAATTCGCATGGTAGTCGGGCAAAACCCTTGGTGATTGGAGTGAAATAAAAATCTAGTCAGCAGTCGGAACCTCGTAGCTCAGTTGGTAAAGCAACGGGTCGGAAACCCGGTGGTCGCTGATCCGAATCCGGCCGTTGTCCAGATTTTCATCTCACCTTCAATCATCACCCAGTACTAAATTAAATCACTGAGACTTACCCAGAGACGGCTTCATTTGGCGTATTAGATCAGCTGTGGAATTTTTAAAAAATTTTATTCATAACTGTGTCTGCAGGATTTTTGATTTCCTTATATGCTTCTGTTTCAATGTGCTCATCAACTTTTTTCAAGTAATCCGCCTTATTCATGAACTCGATAGTAAAATAAATTTTCTATTGAAGGAATTATGCTAGGGATAAGACTTTAACTTCCACAGTTTTCAAATCCCAAGATAAAATATATCAACAAACAGAAGGAGGAGTGATAGGAACTCCTATATCCTCGATCGTAGCAGACATATTTATGGACAGTTAGGAACAACTAGTATTAGGAACATTCCAACCCATCCCAAAAGTATGGTAGCAATATGTAGATTATACATTTAGTGTGCTGAAATCAGAACACATCCAGAATTCTTTCGTACATATTAACTCGATAGTATATGCAATCCAATTCACTTATGAATTAGAAAATGAAGGAGAATTACCTATGTTGGACTGCGAAATCAAGAGGAGAGAAGATGGAAGATTAGATACCAGTGTTTATAGGAAACCGACACATTGGAATAGATACTTGGATTTCACATCATCTCATCCTATATCTATCAATCAAAGTAGGCTTGATAAAATCTTTAAATAATCGGGCAAGGAGTTTGACTAGTAAGTCGGAAAGCCTAAATACGGAAATGAAATATATCACAGAGACACTAATTCTTAATAACTATCCTCCGGAATTTATTAAAAGGTTTACAAGGACTGATAAGAGAAAGAGTGGTAATGTTAGTGGTGGTTTCAACATGCCCCAGAAGGGATTCAAATCCTCTGTCGTGTTGCCGTATAAAGAATGTACATCGAAAATTTTACGTAGAGTTCTTCACAAAGCTGGGTTTAGAGTGGCATTTAAACCCACAACCTCGCTCAGACAGAAATTTAACAGGCTAAAAGATCTAATAGAGCCAGTTGAGAAAAATAATTTAATGTATCAGGTACCATATAATGATTGTGGGGTCAAGTATATAGGTCAAGGCAGTCGAACTGGGTCAGTCAGAATCTAAGATCACAAAAATTTAGCGAAACATACAACGGTATACCATACTAAGATAAGTAATTTAGAAAAAAACTCGACCATCGCTCTGCATGCATTGATCCACAATCACACTATAGGGTGAGATAGACTGACAATTCTAAAATCCAATATAGTTAGGTGGAGGGAGAGAGTGACCACAGAATCTTTGTTCATTGAATCCAAACCTAACACATGCAACGGGAATGGCTCATCACATATTGTAGATATGTATAGGAAATTTTACTACCATTAAAATATACGTTATATATATAAAGTATGAAAGTCATATGAATGTGAACAATAAATTCTGCTCGAAACATCATCAAATAAACTATACTGTATAAATGTATGCTACATCAAATAAACAATCTTATATGGAATTCATAGTAGTTCACTTTAAATGATGTAACCAAAATGGTTTAATCAAAAATGTAATAAAATGAATAATGCTGTCATTTAGGCAAAATTACAAAGTTGATTTTGATAGGATCTTAAATTTCAATACGCCACTTAATTAAAATAATTACAATGGAATTGTTTCATTAAAATGAACACATTCCCTTTAAAGAAAGTTTACCTGTATTTATTTAGTGCTTCTTCGATCATCTTTAACGACTCAGCTACACATTTGCCTAAATTAGTTTCCTTCTGTTCAGATAATTTGTATACTTCATAATCAGCTTTACTAAATGGATCGGGATTATACACTACGACAACTGGAAATGAAAGTTGAGGAATGGAATACTGTAGTGAGCAGAAAAGATATTAAATTACATATTGATTTGCAACCGAAAATTTCATTTTTCAGTACAAACGATTATCCTAGCATAGTGACTGTATATTGGAGTACTCAAATCCAAGATTGTAAACAACACTGATGGTAAGACTGATTCACAGAATTGATCATGATACCCAAAAAATAAAACAAACTGATGAAATTACATCATTTCTACTTAGTGATTTTTTTAATGGATCAACAAGATACCTACAAAATTGTCTCTTCACAAACGCATCAAACAGTAAGTCATGAAGATTCAATTACTGTTTTTGACAACTGTGATGTCGAAGACCTCCTAAGAAGTTTAGCTCACCCGAAACCAACACTTAGGGGCACCTTCAATTTGATTTCTATCCGAGAAAAAAACGCAGTTTTTTCATCATTCATGGCTTATATTTTAGTTTGACTTCATTTTTAATCACCTAGAAGGCTTCTGATTAAACAGTCGTTCAATTCATCGAACTTATGAAGAGTACAAGGGGAAAATGATGGGTATTGCAGGCAAACAGCTAATGAGCACAAGGAATAAGATACAATGGTGTACTGGACGAGGTTATACGGATCAAAACAATTCATGGTAAGAGTTCCCGAATAGTCGTTATTACAATCTTTCTACCACGAGAAGAGGTAAAACTTTTAATTTTCTCCAGTAACATCATTAAAACACCATTCACGAATTACATTATTGTTCGATAGGGTCTCACTACTGCACAAAAATTAAATGCCCAGAATCAAAGAATGAATCGATGCCATATAGAGTAAGAAAAGAAATTGAGTACTGTAGTAGTGCCAGGGACATAAAATCAACGCGGTATCTCGAACAGAAAAGTATCACCTCAAGTTGTCACAGTTCACGGGAGGTTGCCACGAATAAGTGAATAGGAAAGGACTGGTACCAAAATAGACAAAGGTATGTAGGAAGAGATAAGAGCCGTAGCTCAGTGGTTTAGGGGTAGGTATGACTGTCAACCATTGGGCCACGGGTTCGAGCCCCGCTCCACCTACCTAGGTTCAGGCAGCCAGGTAGTATCACTGGCCCTCACACTATAGGTACGGCTCATTGTCTGCTGCACAGATGTGCATAAGATCGCTGAGTATGACTCCTTCTTTCTCGAGTATAGGAGGAGAAGCGATTTAAGAATGGTTAATCAAAGAGTGCATATATCTGATCCTTTGTTACCAGTATTCAACCATATCACTCCTAGGATGACATGTCGAGGTAGGCGATAGCTCAGCATGCTCAACACACACGCTAGTAAAGGTACGAATACACCTATAGTCAAAAACCTTTAGCCTCTTCATATATTCCACTTTCAAAGACCGTATCTCATGGCCGCTTAACAGGACAGAACGAACTGAGACACAGTTTACTCGTCTTTTGACAGGTAGTCAGACATCTTATCAGTCGGCACCAGACAGGATGCAAGTTGGCAAATGCCAAACGAGCATTCTTTATCCGAGCTCAGATTTCACCAGCAACCACCCCACTAGAGCTGATGCGACTCTTTCAGTACGTGAAATGGTTGACAGATTCCACCACTTCACTCATTATCCATGTAATATATTCACATAAATATTCACATGTAAACACTGCTTTAATCAATGAAGTAAACCAGTCTAATGGGACTACCTCTGAGTCCCAGATACTACATAGTACCTCTCTTACTCTAATCATTTACTTAGCACCTCCATCCTCAAAGACTTCTGATGGTAAACCGTCACACCCTACTACTTTGCGTCGTTTCAGGTTTGTAACAGCCTTTTCAACTTCAAAGAGAGTTGGGGGACTGATATCTACGTCCCATTCAGATTCGGTCTGAATGCTGGGCAACTGAGACGTTGTTATGGGCCAATTGAACTGTGTTTCAAAGTATTCTATCCAACATTATAGTCGTCTGTCCTCACAAATTATCACGATACCATACTTTTCAGTGATGGTCTCACTTATTGCCGCCTTCTTCAGACTTGTATGCTCAGTAAACCTAGTTGCTGGTTATTACCTAATGCCGGTGCATTCATAGCGGATCGAGTGATCTTAACTTATATAACATAATTGCCGTTACATAATTTCTAAAATGATCTGAAAAAGTAAATTCAATTCATAACTAGGCTTTTGTTCTATATCTGCATACGTGAAACTATTCTTTTTAATTTAGTTATCTAAAATACATAAGTAAGAAATCATATACAAAACCGGTCTTACTGTCTTGGTTATTGGGGAAAACCTATCAAATCCTAGAATGATTGCAGAGCTGCAGTAAATTGTATACCACGTGTATGAGTTTATGAAAATGCCTGCAAATAATGTTAAGTAAATATTTCTTTCAGAGATATTTCCTTGGCTAAACTATTTGCCCTATAAACTAATGGATATACTTTATTGAATGGCTTATGACTAATTAGAGATACACAATATGAACATGTTGGTATTCAATTATTGGTTTATGGGGATTTATTTTTCTGGAAGTAGTTTTCATCATAGTTTGACCTATAGATTCAGTGCAGTACTCGAACAGATGACCTGCGAAAACGAACTTTTGATCAGAATTCATCGTTGCTGCTTTCTACTAAGCGGATTATCAAAAGTTGCTTAATTTGGTCAACGACAAAAACTTACTATAAGTTAGACTGGTCTGGTTGTCAAACCGATAACGTAAGGGAATATAAAGGCGGGAATGCAGCGCATTCGAACAACTGGTCATTATTTCCAGTTTTGATTTTCAGATGAAAATGAAATAAACGTCTAATGTATCTGTTATTCAGTTAATTGCAAAGGGAAAGTCTATGATGAAAACTGTCTTCAAATATTTATATAATGACTCAAGAAAGTAATAAAGTGGTAAGCCTATATTCATAAAGACAGTTGATTGGACTTCTTGACAAGACAGTTATTTCTTTGCATTTATTCGTAGAGGAATACTCTACATTATTTCAAAAGAGCATAGCAGCTGTGAACTCATAGAAAATAATAATTAATCATGTTAGGTAACCAAAGTGAAAATAAAAAACTCACAGTTATGAAAAAGACTTTTCGCCTCTTCATAGGCAGACTTAACAGCACCTTCTTGATAGGAATCGAAGGTTATTCGAACACGGTAGTAACTATGAATGGGAAATTTTAAAAACGCAAATAGATATTTCATACAATGCTCTATGTTGCTCACAAGAAATTAAATTCTTTTTGTTTACTTTCAAAGATTCTGTCACCTAAAACATGAAACAGAAAACTAGGCATCCAGTAGTAAATCGTGAATATATATATGGTGCTGACCATAAGATGAATTCGTTGATTGGTCAATGGACTACAATCAATTTCATGCTTTCTGGTTCTGAGTGCTGACTAAATCCTAATGACCATTTCGCGATGTGGTCACCAAGGTCACCATAGTGCACTTTGATAGATTCCAGTTAGTTGGAAGCAATTGGCAAGAAACCCCGAGCCTTGCTGGAGAGAGCCAACAGGTACGAAATCTAGGTCCAGGGTCTCTTGCCGATCGCCTCCAACCAACCAACATCTAAAAGGAAGTGGAAAAAGGAAACACATGCCAAAACATTTAGGGAAATTTGAGCATAACTACCGAACTAACAGAGGAAAATGTATGGGTACGTAGGGATTTAAGAATAATGCTGTCTGTGAATAGACAGGTCGCCAAAACAGCATGTGGGCGTACATTAACAAATAGATTCGGTTTAAAATAAAGGTTATATCACATTGTACCCTATAAAAACAGATTCAAATAAAGTATGGTAAGAAAAACCTTTCTATCAGTTGAGGTTTCCATGTTGCGAAACAGCAGACAATATGAGAAAACAAAACGAAGCGTAGAGCAGTGAAGTGAGTAAAGAAAATGACATGGAAAAATGAATAGTAATAAACAGACGGTAAATAATGTTTAAAATTTGGAAAATAAAGATGATTTGTGCCACTGATATCAATCTCGATACACATCATACATACATCCCAAGATTCTATACACATCATCCCCGCATAACACAAACTAGCAGTTAGTATCAAGTCTTCAATCTGGTTACCCTGATGTTGATTCCAACCCACCAATACACCTATCATAGTATTTTCAGGTATAACACTGCGGGTCACCTAAATGAGTCATCCGATTAAACGTAGGCTTATAATTTCACCAAGTAATCTAACTAGCTTATGTGGCTAACGTCTTACTTATTATGATGATCCAAAATCTAGGCTCAGACCCTAAGACTTTGGTTCACTGGATAAAAAACATTTCGAATACCTTTCTGCATTAATTAGCTACGACCAACTATGTTAGCATTTGCTGAATTTTTCTCAGGATTGTGTAAACAGATAATCGATTTATCAAAGGAATAAATCAATGGAGACATCTACAATTTTTTTTGCTGTTACGCACTTCGGTTTAGTGAAAGTGCAAGTAATCTAGGGTAGAAAAAAACCAACATAATATTCAACTTTTGTGAATAGTCATAACTCGGCTACATCATGCAGTCTGCACTACAAATCGAATTTACTAAAACAAACTCAGATCACAAAAATTACTTTTATAATATTGTTCATTCATCTGATAAACTAGTGCATATAAAATTTAAATAATTAAAAAATTTGTGCATTATTTATATCATAACTATATCCTTAAATTCGCGCTTCAAGTTATCACCATAAAACATTTTGTAAAATTCTTTGAATTTTATTCGATCAAATCTATCGAAATCTATGAATTTCATAGCAGCCACCCAAACATAATAAATTTATTGCCTCATAACTTCAAGACATGAAACAGATACCAAAGGGTTTCCGAGTGAGAGAAAATGAAACGCCATTTAAGTCAAGAGAGGAAGAGAGAGCCTATTCTCAGTACTGGTGTTGGATATGGATGTGTCAATTACAACAAACGTTAACAGTGAGACTTTTAAGTGTCATACTCCCACTAACCTTGTGTTCAGTCTACACAAAAATGATGAAATAAGAGAACCTAAACAATACATATGACCTTAACATACGGTGATTCGATTCCCATACTAGAAAAAACTTATGGGAGATAACAGCTTATCAAATTAAAGAGGTTTTCGGAAACTAAAAATTTCAAAACTAGCTGAAAAAAAGGAAGAAAGGAAATTGTATAAAGTCATGTGCAAAAAGAACTAAGAAAGTATCTGATTCAAAGAAATACCTGTGAAATTGAGATATGGGGGAAAGTTCTTGAGTTGCATAAAGCTTTACAATCGTATTTTACATTGGAATTTATGTAAGAGTCGCTAAGCCCTTCGGGTTGTCAAACCCAACCAGCTGTTCTCGTAAGTGGTCAGCTTGGGTCAGGCTCAAACTGAATAATTGACAATAACTATATTTCTTCGATAGACAGTGATTGGCACAGATATATAGATATAGATATATATACCAATCACCATGCGAATTAAGACCACGGTGGTCTGGAATATTTATTTCCAAATACATGTTACAGTATTATCGATGCCCACCAACTGATTTCTCAACGGCAAACCAATTTTCAACCTTTCAGTTTTAGAAGTACACTCAAACACGTGGTAGTAGTGAACAGTATTCCTTCAGGAGAAACTACATTACTTGCCACCAAATGAAAGTTTAGAAGAGATAAATAAACTTTACCAAAGATCAGTTACATTCAAATGTATTTAAATGAGAAAATGGTTATCTGGGCCCCTTGCTCTGTTATTTAGAGGCTCAATAAAGGCTTACACAAGAGCAAAAGAAGGCAGATAATGTAGTTTACTCAGTTGATACATAAATTCGAATAGAAATATTAGGCATACAAGGACCAAGTACATATTTAGGCAGTGTAAAAACATAACTGCCGATAGGTTCACATACCAGTTAGTTTTTGAGCCACTTCCATTGTGTGAGGGCTAATAATAATACTACTACTATCACCATTACATAACCTTGTAGTTTAGAGTAAGCACAGTCATTTGAATTTTTAACTACACAGCTGAGAATTCAGTGCCTAAGCCACAACCTTTAATGTAATTTTATTTGTTAATCTACTTATATCAAAGTAGTATTCATCACAAAGTAGCATCAGTTGGAGAACCAGTGGAAACCTGAGAGCACTTAATTAACACAAATAGAAAACTGTAGACCATTGAACTCTGACCCAGTGGCAGGATGGCTAACGCATTCGCCAAGAGACCTGAAGGTCCTGAGTTTGATCCACGGTGGGGTCATGGGTACGAACTACAGAGAAGTCCCACACTAAGACAAAAAGGCTGTTCAGTGCTCCCAGATTTTCACTGGTTCCCCAAGTGATGTCAGTCTGTGATGAATACTACCTTGAAACAAACGAACTAACCATAAACCTCACACTAAAATCTATTTACTGTCTACTGGAATCTCTGGCTTCGGTTTCGTTTTTTTGTTCGAAATTCAAATTCATTTGCTTTTTGACAACTACATAACTAAGTCATAAAGTTATTATTACATGAGTGACATACTTCATGTTTCGGCTATACAAATGTCATATAACAACAATGCGGCAACACAAGCAACTCTTGAATTATTCTCTTTCTAAATCGTTCACACTTCAAACGACAATCAACTTAAACTGAGGAGAATAGAAATATATTTCAGTACCATCCCAGTGCGTTTAGAAAATAGAAACAAGATTTTTCTGTTTTCTGTGTCAACCGCTGTTTTTTCAGCAGAATCACTCGGATTTCACTAAAGAATCAAAACATGCGGTGAAATGACTCAATAAATGAACTTCTTCAGAGGTCATTAATTGGGCGAATTTCCATCAGTGTGACCACACTAACAACAGCGAAAGAAGGACTCAACAACGAAAACACTCATCAATCCACAAGCAACTAGATAAATCAATTCGAAGAAAAATAAACTATCTATTCAAGACTGGTCAGATTATGAGTGAAGAATAATGACAAATGGAGACAAATGGTCCAGTCCTACCTAGATCTACAGTCGACTAAGGTGTATACTCAATTGCGACTAGTGGCGTCACTACTAGGAACACTATCAGTAAATTTGTCAACGGAATCGCTCAGAAGACTTAAACATCTTGTGGATGGGAGTCAACAATAAGTCAGTTCAGCAAATCAATTCATAGAAATAGTGAAAGGCATTATGATAAACAATGATCTTGCTCTTTTCACGTTAGTCGGTTCAGATTTCAATACACAAACAATAAATATCTTTGCCAACAATCACCAGAATTTTCAAAAATATGTTAACATTACTGCTTCAAACTGAGTGAAATTAACCATCTCTCAACACGTATTTTCAACCTCGCCTAGTTCACTAGTTACCACCCAGTACTAAGCCCCGATAAAGAGGGATGCCTGGGTGTAGGGCCAGCAACAATATCCCGTGAAACCAAACCAATCGCTAAAGAAACTTCAAAGCACAAACAAAATATAAGGAATCAAAACAAACGTATTCCACGCTGGAATCGGAGACAAAATCACGTGGGTTGGCGAAAGCCTTCGAGACGCCAAATAGGCGGATGTCTCTTCTCTCGATGACAGCATAATCCATTCTGAGCTCATTGTGGAAATCTAAGGGAAAAGTAATGTTTAGAGTGTGAAAAAAAGCAACTAGTCGGATCATGATCTGATAATTACAACGAAAAAATTGATTTTCTAGTAATAATGGTAGCCCACAATCGGCTTCTTTAGCGATTGGATTGGTTTCACGGGGTAGGGTTGCTAGCCCCATGCCCAATCTTCCCTCTTTATCCAGGCTTAAGACCGGCTAGTAACTAGTGAACGCTAGTTAACGGTACGCATCAACATAGAACAGAGCATAGAATGGCAGTCAGCTCTCTACCTCAACTTCATCGACTTTGAAAAGACCTTCGACAGCCTCCACCCAGAAGTAATTTGGCAGTTGCTTCAACACTACGGAGTGCCCACTAATCTTTATCAACCTCATTCAACAGCTATATGAAAACGCCACACACCAAGTGATCCACAATGGAAAGCTCAGTTATGACTTTGAAGTGAAGACAGGAGTAAGACAAGGCTGCCTTCTATCACCCATGATATTCATGATTGTAGTGGACTGGACTGGTCCATGCAACAAACCGTGAGGAGTGAGAAGAGGGGGATACGCTGGACCGGGG